AGATTTGAGTTTAGGGAGAGTCTGAGAGATGAGATGCGGCCGCGATCTGAGATTGAGAGATCAGAGATTAGATATTGAGATGAGAGTGAGACTGTGAGAGGGAGGCATGACCGTGATTGTGAATGGCTGAAATGAATTCGTGATAAAAAGTTAAGAAATTAGGGATTCAATGAATAGTGACCAGCAAATACAGGTGCCCGCGGGTTCACCTGTATAACCCGTGATTTATTGGACCGGGTACGGGTACGAGTCACAAAAAAATAGGTTTAACATATTAGACCCGTATCCTATATTTTTTACCCGGGTATGGGCCGACCCGCGGGTCCAGACCCGTTTTGCCAGGTCTAGCCTCACACAACCTTACTCAGCCACATGGCCTCACTCGACTTCACCGACCTCATTCGGCCAAACGCCTTCACACAACCTCATTTGGCTTCACTTGGCCTCATTAGGCCTCACTTAGCCTCATTTGGCCTTATTAGGTTTCACTTGACCTTATTCGGCCTCACTCGGCCAATGTGTATTCACAATTGACAATAAAACAACAACATATGAGAATGCTTTGCACATCACTCCACTCAGCACATGCCATTCACCCTCACAAAATGAATGATCTCCAACACCAAATGCATCCCATTCGGCCAACACTCTCCACTTGGCGGAATGAGTTGAGTGGAACCTAGTGGTGTCATTTACGTTTATCCTTACACAAGTTTGCTCAAAGGAACGAATTCTCTAGCTCCACTAGACTCAATTAAACACATACTTGGACGGACCGAGTCACATCGATTCATCTCTTAGAAATTGGCTAGAACTACTCTCTAAAGTTAAGTATCCCTTAACTTAAAGAGTGGGGGACAAACTGTTTGGGCAAAAAATTGCATTGGACTTCTTATAAGCTCAGTAGTACTTGACTCCTTCTTGAAGACCATCAATAGACGATCTCGTGCCTCGACCCAACTTTGGTTAGGCTCATGCCAAAAGCCCAATTGGGGTTGGTATCATGACAAAGCGCATTTCGTGAAATGGATCCACTCTTGAGCCCAAATGGCGACCTTGTGCCAAGGCCCAACTCTAGTTGGCCCCATGCTAAGCGCACTCTACAAATTGGGTGGCCCAAACAATCTAGGCCACACTATCCTTCAAGCCCATCTAAGAGTCAAGCCCAATGGTCATTCATGACTTCGAGTCTAATTAGGAGTCCAGCTCCTCAAGAGTCCAGATCCATGAAGACTCCTCACTCCTCAAGACTCGAGTCTCATAGGAATGCTTCACCATGTAGGACTCATAGTCCTACAAGAGATCTTACTCCATAGGATTCTAAGTGCCATAGATATCCTAGTTCATCCAAGATTCCTAGTCTTACATGAACTAATACTCGTACTCCTACATGGATTAACACTACAAGTTTTCTGTTTACTCAAACTCCTATTGCGAGAACACCTAATTCTATAAGGACTTAAGCTTTCTTGGCTCACTATATGAACAGAGGCCAGACCTCTCATTATTCATTTAATCACAAACCCTCTCTTTTGCTTACTAAGTTTTTGCTCCCAAGAACCACCATTTTTCTCCACCTTAAAGTCTAGTTCTGACCACTCTACGCTGATAATCACCATAGAGCCGAGCTCCGACCACTCTACGCCGATAAGTTTCCGGCCTAGCCAACCACTCCTGGTAAAACCTTTCCCGCTCTCAACCTTACTAAATTTCCAACAACAGTGCTGACTTGAGCGTCGGAGTGCCTACAATCGACACCACATCGATGTCCCCAACTTCTTCGTGTTCACTCTTTTTTTTTGTCTTTGCAGGTTTACAAGATTGTCAGTGGCCTCGTCCTCACAAGATCATCTTTATGACATTCCGGATAGATTTTACCGTCTACACTACAAAACCTGTTACTATTGATCTAGTATAAGTTAGGAAGACATTAAGTTTGATTCTATAGAAATGATGTAGTAATCTTATTCATCAATTGACTGTAGTGTTGGTTAGATTTATTGTTTTTATCCAGGGGCAGAGCTACGTTTAGGATTTGGTCACCCCAGGCCCCACAAAAATCTTTAAATTTTGTACAAAAATAACAATTTAACCCCTATAAATATAGCTTTTCTCATTTTTGCCACCCCTAGTTTTTTAAGGTAACACTTTAGCTCCAGTAGATGTAACTTCTCTTATTACTTATGGCCCTGTTATTCATTGAAGATAGCATTTTGGACCTCCAGGAAATATTTTTTGGCTCCACCCCTGTTTGTATCAGTAGTCAGTTGTTCTTTGCTATATTACATCAACGTAACAATTCATGAACATAAAACTTCTAAACTCATAACTTGAAACTTATAAATCAAGAATGCAAAACTTGTAATGCATAGACACGTACGTTTCATGTTGTATTATATCTATAGCTTGGGTTCTTTTGTTGCCACACCCAATGGCAGACTGCTGATATGCGTGGGATGGCCATTGCCACTCCAGACTTTAGATTATTTTCTTGAGATTTCATGTAAAAAAAGTTTCAATTTTATCCTATAAAAGTTACTCTTTTAACTTTGCCCCATGTTTCTTAAACTTACATTTTTTTCCCCTTAAATGTAATTTCCTAAATAATTTTAGTTTTTACTTTGGTTTGCCTCTTTATTAAACATTAATTTTGGCCCCTCAAACATAATTTCAGGGTTCTGTCATTGGCCACACCAGAAATGGTCTGAGATTTGATCATTAAAGTCAAAGGTTGCTAAAATTCTATGCATCTCTATTCCTCTCTCAGCTATATTTTAACTTCTTAAATGGAAAAATTATAATATCTATGCATATTAACAATACAAAAGTCAAAATAATGTTTATATTTTACTAACGTGTGACAGCTCTACTCTATCATGTATGCATTGTTTTTATATATATAAATGTTTACATGGCTGCACGTTTTATCACTCTACTAAAATAAGGAACTTCATTGTGAAATCGTGGTGCTCACCAATCAACTTGCAGTTCCAGTTCACTCAAGGTTTCCATTTTTTATTCACGTTCTTTTAGCATGCCTAGATATATAAAGGAAACCAATACTTGCTTTCATATATAGATCGAATTTGTATATCCCAAAACTAAAGAATATGAAGATGTCAACAGTAGCTGCATTTGCTCTAGCCCTTGGCCTCATTTTTGTCAACCTTACAGGGCATTGCGATGGCGCACTTCAGGTCGGGTTTTATAGAGGAAAGTGTGGATTGTTAGATGTTGAGTCTATTGTTAGAGCCGTTGTTACCGTAAAGTTTTTGAAAGACAGAACTATTGCACCAGCTCTCATTCGGATGCAATTTCATGACTGCTTTGTCAATGTAAGTTATCTTAATTTTTTAGCTACCAAACATGTCATTATATGATATGAATAAGCTAATTTGAATCGTACTTTATGGTGAAAAAGGGATGCGATGCATCGATTCTCCTGGATGGAAACTCCACTGAGAAAACTGCAGGTCCGAATTTAAGTGTAAGGGGTTACGAAGTTATTGATGCAGTAAAGGATGCTGTCGAGAAATTTTGCCCTGGGGTCGTCTCTTGTGCTGATATCATTGCCATAGCAACCAGGGATGTTGTTTACTTGGTAAGAATAAAAAATAAATAAATAAAATCCTGATATTCTTATATATATGTAGTATAAATAAATTCTCTTAAAAGATTATCAGAAAAAGACTGACAGAAATGTTGTAGCTACTTTTTCCAAAACTCATATGCTTTTGTACATGCAGAGTGGAGGAGGGAAATACAGTGTGGAAACAGGAAGAAGANTATTGATCTAGTATAAGTTAGGAAGACATTAAGTTTGATTCTATAGAAATGATGTAGTAATCTTATTCATCAATTGACTGTAGTGTTGGTTAGATTTATTGTTTTTATCCAGGGGCAGAGCTACGTTTAGGATTTGGTCACCCCAGGCCCCACAAAAATCTTTAAATTTTGTAAAAAAATAAAAATTTAACCCCTATAAATATAGATTTTCTCATTTTTGCCACCCCTAGTTTTTTAAGGTAACACTTTAGCTCCAGTAGATGTAACTTTTCTTATTACTTATGGCCCTGTTATTCATTGAAGATAGCATTTTGGCCCTCCAGGAAATATTTTTTGGCTCCACCCCTGTTTGTATCAGTAGTCAGTTGTTCTTTGCTATATTACATCAACGTAACAATTCATGAACATAAAACTTCTAAACTCATAACTTGAAACTTATAAATCAAGAATGCAAAACTTGTAATGCATAGACACGTACGTTTCATGTTGTATTATATCTATAGCTTGGGTTCTTTTGTTGCCACACCCAATGGCAGACTGCTGATACGCGTGGGATGGCCATTGCCACTCCAGGCTTTGGATTATTTTCTTGAGATTTCATGTAAAAAAAGTTTCAATTTTATCCTATAAAAGTTACTCTTTTAACTTTGCCCCATGTTTCTTAAACTTACATTTTTTTCCCATTAAATGTAATTTCCTAAATAATTTTAGTTTTTACTTTGGTTTGCCTCTTTATTAAACATTAATTTTGGCCCCTCAAACATAATTTCAGGGTTCTGTCATTGGCCACACCAGAAATGGTCTGAGATTTGATCATTAAAGTCAAAGGTTGCTAAAATTCTATGCATCTCTATTCCTCTCTCAGCTATATTTTAACTTCTTAAATGGAAAAATTATAATATCTATGCATATTAACAATACAAAAGTCAAAATAATGTTTATATTTTACTAACGTGTGACAGCTCTACTCTATCATGTATGCATTGTTTTTATATATATAAATGTTTACATGGCTGCACGTTTTATCACTCTACTAAAATAAGGAACTTCATTGTGAAATCGTGGTGCTCACCAATCAACTTGCAGTTCCAGTTCACTCAAGGTTTCCATTTTTTATTCACGTTCTTTTAGCATGCCTAGATATATAAAGGAAACCAATACTTGCTTTCATATATAGATCGAATTTGTATATCCCAAAACTAAAGAATATGAAGATGTCAACAGTAGCTGCATTTGCTCTAGCCCTTGGCCTCATTTTTGTCAACCTTACAGGGCATTGCGATGGCGCACTTCAGGTCGGGTTTTATAGAGGAAAGTGTGGATTGTTAGATGTTGAGTCTATTGTTAGAGCCGTTGTTACCGTAAAGTTTTTGAAAGACAGAACTATTGCACCAGCTCTCATTCGGATGCAATTTCATGACTGCTTTGTCAATGTAAGTTATCTTAATTTTTTAGCTACCAAACATGTCATTATATGATATGAATAAGCTAATTTGAATCGCACTTTATGGTGAAAAAGGGATGCGATGCATCGATTCTCCTGGATGGAAACTCCACTGAGAAAACTGCAGGTCCGAATTTAAGTGTAAGGGGTTACGAAGTTATTGATGCAGTAAAGGATGCTGTCGAGAAATTTTGCCCTGGAGTCGTCTCTTGTGCTGATATCATTGCCATAGCAACCAGGGATGTTGTTTACTTGGTAAGAATAAAAAAAAATAAAATCCTGATATTCTTATATATATGTAGTATAAATAAATTCTCTTAAAAGATTATCAGAAAAAGACTGACAGAAATGTTGTAGCTACTTTTTCCAAAACTCATATGCTTTTGTACATGCAGAGTGGAGGAGGGAAATACAGTGTGGAAACAGGAAGAAGAGATGGTTTTGTATCTCTTGCCAAAAACGTAAAACTCCCAGGTCCTACTATTACAGTTTCTCAATCCATAGCAGTATTTGCTGAGAAAGGACTCGATGCAACAGACATGGTTTACCTTCTTGGTACTTTCCTTTCCACTTTTTATTCATCTGACATATATAAAAATATATATAAACAAGGTTTTGACAAAATTAATTAATATCATAACGTGTTAACCTGACAAGAGAATTACTCTATATATATAAAATAATTATTTAAATAGGACCACTTGATATTAATCTGTAAGACCATGTATGTAAGTTGTTGAATTTGAGTTGTAAAATATTATTTCACTGATTCACTCCCATAAGGTAAATCCAATGGTATATAAACACAGTCCTAGCAAAATTAAAATTAAGACATTTTTATTAGAGAATTACTCTATATATATTGTCAAGTGATTCTATGGGTATAATCTCGAAGTATTATTTGTTTTGTTTTGGTGCACATAGGTGGTCATACAATTGGAGTAGCACATTGCAATCTCTTCCAGGCTCGTCTGTACAATTACAAAAACACTGGAAAACCTGACCCTTCCATGGATTTATCATTACTTGAAACTCTGAAAAAGATGTGTCCCCAGAATTCAACTGGTTTTAACACCGTTAATCTTGACCAGAATCCAAAAAGTGCTTCCATAGTTGACAACTCTTTCCACAAGCAAATTAAAATGCACAGAGGGGTTCTCCAAATTGACCAGGATCTAGCTTTGGATTCTTTAACCAAAGCCACTGTGGACAAGGTAGCAAATGGGTTTGATTTTTCAACTAAATTTGGTCGGGCCATGGTTAAGATGGGAGCAATTCAAGTTCTTACTGGCAAGCAAGGGGAGATCAGGAAGTCCTGTCGAGCCGTCAATAGACGCTTCTAATTGAAGGGAGAGAAATTCTACACAATTTAAACATTTTTCTTTTCTTTTTTCTATTGACAATTGTTCTGATCTGTCGTGTTTTCATCAATATAATCATCCAATATTTGTTTTATTGAGGAATTTTATATTAAAAAAGAATTACACCGGAAATTTTCATGCAGAAAAAGGAAACAAGTGTAAGGTAAAAAAAATCAGATATTCTTCTTGTATGTATCTATGATCATCGGGATACAATATAGATTAATAATTTGTGATTGATAATTGACATAAACAAAACAAAAGAAAGGATATCCTTTCGATACAGTTTAATAATTAGCAGTCAATAAATATTAGATCGAATAAAGTTTACAATAACAACCGGACAAATTAAATAATTAACTAGAATAGATGATATATCTATAATTAAGTATACATAACTACAAAGCTAGATTTGTCTACCAGCAATATCAGATGGAGCTGCATGATGACTAAAATAGCCTGGTTATAAATTGATTCCAAGTTCCTAGTACCACAATGCAAAAGGAATGAGCCATTTTCTTAATCTGACGGCAGGGTTGTGTGATTTTCACGAAGCTCGTCTTGTTTTTTTCCTTCGCCTTTTGCTACATGCAAACAAGATGGCATTATGGACAACTAAAACTGGAAAGCTAAAAATCCTCTTTGGAGTTGAAGTCGGGGTGCCATATCTTGAATTGCTTAGATGTCATCAATTTTTTTATTTTTTTATTTTTTTCCTGGATTAACCGCTTTGACCAAATATACTTTCCTCTTTCATTCTCATCATCTGTCTGATAAGTTGTGTAATTTACAACATGTAGCAGATAAATTTCTTCAGGAAAGATTTTAATTGGATATGTGGAACTGTGACTGCCGACTGCGGAACCTCTAGCTGATACAGAATGAATTCAAGCATACTAAATTTTGCATGCATGATGGAAATTGATGTGAATTTGGGAGTTAATTTTATCCCTATACTCCACATATATTAATCCATTCTTTCTTCAATCTACCAAACATGCAGTAAAATTAAGCAAAATATGTTGTCTGGATTCAAATGTTCGTTACAAGATGCTCTTGGCCATTTTTTTTAGTCCCTTTCAACTTATAACAGTCCCACATTGCGAATCCTCTGAAAACGAACATAAGACAACCGGTAAAGAACAAAAAGTTTTCAGGAATAGATAAACTGAGAAGAATTCTTAATTTGCTTCTTTTTATCAGCCAATTGACAACTGCAAACTTCGACCACAGCAAGAATGACTTTGTAATATCCATCTATCCATAGGCCTGCAGAAATACATGTACGAAACAGTACTATCCTCCTTCAGCTCCCAACCTCTATAAGTACAACTCTTCTTCAATCCCCATTCCATTATTAAAGTTCTAACCTTTAGACATCAAATACTTTACCATGGCTTCTCAAAAACTCTTCTCCCTTTTGTTTTCTTTGGCCATTATCCAAATGGCATTCGCTAGTGATCCAGACATCACCTCAGACTTTATTGTTCCATCAAACGTAACCCAAGTTGATGGAAACTTTTTCACATTCACCGGCATGCGCGCTCTTGTCGGTGCACCACCACCAGAAACTTTTAAGGTCACCAAAGCGAGCATGGCCGAATTCCCAGCTCTCAATGGACAAAGTGTTTCATATGCTGTCCTTCAATTCCCTGCCGGCACCACTAACCCTCCTCACACCCACCCTCGCTCTGCTGAACTCCTTTTCCTCGTCAAGGGTTCTCTTAATGTTGGTTTCGTTGACACAACCAACAAGCTTTTCGTTCAGACGCTACAAACGGGCGATCTGTTCGTATTCCCTAAGGGACTTGTTCACTTCCAGTACAATCCTGATGAAAAGGCAACTGCTACAGCAATTTCTGCCTTTGGGAGTGCAAATGCAGGAACTGTATCTCTTCCCAACACTCTATTCACCACAGGCATTGATGATACGATCTTGGCGAAGGCTTTCAAGACTGATGTTGCTACCATTCAAGCTCTCAAGGCCGGTCTTGCACCCAAGCCATGAAGAAAAATTTAGTACCTGCGGTAACTTGTTTGAGTGATGTATTAGTTTCATTTAATAATATTTGTCTTTTGGATTGTGAACTGAATAACCCTTCAGAGAGGAAATAATTTCTTCCTTATCTGAAGACCACTCTATTTCCTAGCAATGCAATGTTGTTTCTCATCATCTTCGGTTAAGTATATGCAATCATGCACTTCTGTTGACGCGGTCTCAAAGCCGGAATGATGTCTTTTAATTATATGGTTTAGTACTGTCTGCAAATACTGAAATAGTTGGAACTTAACTCTTTATACTTCAATATTAAAAGGGCATTCAGAATGAAAGTTCAACGTCAAATAGATGAATTAAGATGCATGACGAATCCTATAATCTTTGACAATGATGAAAGCGTTATCACCACAAGGGTATTTTGCAATGGAAAGTGACACTATGGTAAAGAATATGAAGACCCAATTAAAAAGTTAACAGTCTTATTCAAGAGGGTGAAGAAATCAATGTGTCTCCCTGATAAATTGGAGAACTCTGTTAAGTTCTAGAGGAAAGCATAACAAAAAAAAAAAGGATTGACGAGTGGAAGAAGAAAACTAAAGACTTATCCACCTCACCATTACCTTTTTGTAGGGAATTGGTACATAGTACAATCAAAAGCGGTGATATGGAGTTTTATTTCAGTGATTATGTCACAATATGCACAATGTTCGTTACTATATAATTATACAAATTTGCAGAAGAACGCTTTTAAGAGCTTTTGGAAGGCCTAAAGAATAAATAAAAAAAAAAAAAATGCTTGAATCAAGTTACTTTGTCTGTTCATCTTGTATCAGAGCACTCTTAAATGTTTTTATTTCTTCAAGACTTCTTGAGAAATCACAGGAAATATTATCGCTGTTTTTAACAAAGCTCTCTCATTTGAGAGACGACATTTGTTTAAACTGTTAATAGGTAGGTGGGTGCTTGAATAAGACTTCCAACCGAAAACATAACGAGTGTAAACTCGATTGGGTTGGCCAAAACTCCATGACTATCTTGATACAAAGAGAGAGAAATGAGATTTTTTTTACTCTATCATAGAATCACAATTATCATTATACATATATATCTATCTTTAAGAGACGCTAATAATTGGGAAAAAATAAAGAAAGGGAAAAATAAAGAAAAGGAAAAGGAAAAGGCTGTTAACATTATTTATCTACCACGATCTAGGAATATAATTGGCCAAATTTTTTTTTTTAGCCAGCAATAGATTCAAATCACAGGTATCATAGAGATTCATGACCTTGTGAGAAATATCATAAGTCATGCAAGAGGATTCAGACTAGCGAACGGGAACTCAAATGCCCTAGATGAATTCATAACCTTCATTTTCTATAAATGCTCTATATATAGAACCAAGGTCAATAAAGCCATCGTCAAAAACTACAAAAATTTCCAACAGCCAATAGACCTTGATCCAGATGAGCTTTGAATGAAGAAACCAGCTTACAGTCTTCTCCCTCTTCGTCTACCCTTTCTTCGAATGCTATCAGTGGGAATCGGAGTAACATCCTCTGGGAACACCAAAAACAAGTTTCAAAATCAAGAAGATGACAACAAATTTCAAAGTAGCACTTATATATTCATACAATAGGCAATATCTTAATCAAATTCTTCAGTTCTAAAAGCTACTAATCTTTTTAACATCCTTACCGATGCGACCAATTTTCATTCCAGAACGTGCAAGTGCCCTAAGGGCAGACTGACCACCTAGGCCAGGGCTCTCAGTCTTATTCCCTGTAAGAGTAATGGAAGAAGAATAACAAAAGGGATAGAGCAGTGTTGCTGAAAATGCTATTGCATTGATTGTATTAAATTGCATTAAAACTGTACATGATGCCACCACTTTATACAATGAAACAAAATGTAACAAACCAAAGAATATTCTAACGCTATATAGCTAGAATAACAACCTGTAAATTTACATAATGGTACAAGGACACCTTAGCTATGAATAAGACCATTTGGTAATTTTCCTGAACAATTATCATATGAGGTGTGTCCATCTGATATAGAATGTGGCTGCATATCAGCGTCTTTGAGGATGCCACGAGCTGCTGCATTTGCATGAGATGAACTGATGTTGGACTGCTCTAATACCCCCCGGCAAGATGGAGAGTAGATATTAGCTACTCCCATCTTGGACAAATGTGAGTAGAGTAAATGAGAGGGTAAGGACTTGGTAAACATATCAGCAAGCTGCAGTTGTGTAGTAACATGAGCAGTCCGAAGTGTGCCTTCTTGTATCTTATCCCTTATAAGATGACAATCCACTCAATGTGTTTTGTCCTTTCATGAAACATCGGATTAGATGCGATATACAAGGCGGCTTGATTATCACAAAATATCTCAGCTGACTGAGGATGAGGAATGACAAGATCAGTGAACAATTGCCTCAGCCAAGTGAGTTCAATAGATATAGAAGCCATGGCTCGGTATTCGACCTCAGCAGAAGACCGAGATACCACAGTCTATTTCTTGGACCTGCAAGAAATGAGAGAGTGTCCCAAGAAGACACAAAAACCAATTAAAGACCTGCGAGTATGAAGGCAGGATGCCCAGTCCGAATCAGAGTATCCAATAAGCTGTAATGAAGAAGCAGCAGACAAGAGGATGCCTTGGCCAGGAGCATTCTTGAGATAACGTAGCACTTTACGAGCTGCAGCAAGATGAGTAGTGGTAGGGCAATCCATGTATTGACTCAAGACTTGAATAGGATAGCTTATGTCGGGTCTAGTAAGAGTAAGATAAAGTAGTCGACCAATTAACTAGCGGTAAGGGGTGGGATCAGACAAGGGGGTTCTAGATGTCTTAGATAATTTGTGGTTCTAATCCATGGGGATTTTGAGTGGGGAAGCAAGATTACCAATATCAGCCAAGATATCTTGTGTTCATTTTCGCTAGCATAGATAAATTCTTGTTGGAGAACGAGCCACTTCAATGCCTAGGAAACACCTTAGTGAACCAAGATCTTTAATGCGAAGATGGGTGTTCAAAAAATTTTGGAGAACAGAGATGGAGGTAAGAGAGCTGCTAGCAACTACTATGTCATCGACATAGACAAGTAGTGCTGTAAAATCAGTGGCAGTGATATATGTAAAAAAGCTATAATTAGCCTTAGATTGCTTGAAACCAAAACTGATCAAAGATTGAGAGAACTTATCATACCACTACCGTGAGACCTGTTTGAGGCCATAGAGACTTTTGAGCAATTTACAGACTTGTCCAAGTTGGCCTTTAGTATATCTCGGGGGCTTCTTCATATAGATATCTTCATGTAAATCTCCATTAAGAAATGCATTGTTAACATCAAACTATTGTAAATGTCATCCTTTAATGGCAGCCAAGGCAAGCAGAGTTCGGACTGTAACAATCTTGGCAACGGGGGAGAATGTTTAATGATAATCGACTCCCTCTTGTTGAGTAAAACCACGAGCAACTAAACATGTTTTCTTACATTCAACTGTACCATTAGAATGGTATTTGGTTTTATACACATATTTGCAATCAATTGGAGATTTTCTAGGAGGTAAATCTATAAGGATCTAGGTCTTGTTTAGTTATAGAGCATTAAGTTCGGCTTCCATTGCTTTGCACCAATCAAGGTCCTTGGTAGCTTGTTTAAAGGTTTGTGGGTCTTGTTGTGAAGAAATGGTAGAAGAAAATAAAGCAAATGAAGGTGATAAACGTGTATAAGAAATAGAAGAGGACAAAGGAAAATGAATACCTAAAGGAGCTGGTGCCTTGTCCACAGACTGGTTAGATGAGATTGAGCTGACTTGTTGACAATGAAAATCTTGTAAGTAGTTAGGAGTTGTTCTTGCACGGGTTGATCTTCGAAGGGAAGGTCGAAATGGTATGGCAGGATAAGATAAGGAAGAGTAATCTGTTGTAGGTGTATGTGCAGGAAATGGTGTTGTAGCAGTAAAGTTAGGATGAGGAGAAGAGAGAGGAGAGGATATGGGTGAAGGGGATGGGGAAATAGGAGAGGATATATCTGAGGTAGGGTTTGGAGGCAGTGTATAAGGAGAGGAACAAGTTTGTGAAGGGACAGATTGCATGGGATAAGGAGATGGTAAAGGTAGGGGAAAGAAATAATAAAAGCGTGAAATTAAAAAACTAATAAAGACTTTATAATAAAAACATTGCCGTTACGGTTTTGGTTCGACACGAGACCAACTCACACAATTCTACTCCACCCTCTACGATCCACTAAACCTACAAGGCAAGGTAAATCAACGAAATGGCTTTTCAACACTCTAGGTATAATCTATCCTATCTCACTTGATCACTCAAGTTCGATTAGTTAAAGACTATCATTAAACGCCGATGAACGCTACAAGACAATACCACTAGTTGGTACGCTATTAACAAATACAATTTTTCAACACGTATCTTCCAATCAACCAACTTCACAATAAACGCAACAACAGTAGAAATGAAATTAAATCCGAACACAACTCAATTACAATCGATGCGAAGTAATGAAAAGCAATATTCATCATTTAATTATTTCAAACCAACGTTNTCAACCAACTTCACAATAAACGCAACAACAGTAGAAATGAAATTAAATCCGAACACAACTCAATTACAATCGATGCGAAGTAATGAAAAGCAATATTCATCATTTAATTATTTCAAACCAACGTTTATCATTCAGCAAGTTCTATGAAAGCATTAAATCACAATGGACAATAATATTCATCACAAATTATGCTCAAACCATATTGAAGTATCGAAATCAAACATGAAACGAAAACAAATATAATTCGAAACACAATACTATCAAATGTCCTATAATCGGGCTCATCCAACTAGTCGAGAGCTGATGAGGAGAGCATTGGAGTCAATCTCGATCTTGCCTACGCTATAACAGACAACCGAGAACTCAGCCGCTCATGGTGGTGTCGATAGATGCTGAAACAGTGGAAAGGAAGCTGATCATGGTGGAGAGGAAGTAACCGACAGTGATATGATGCGAAGAAAGGGCAAAAACGACCAATGGACAGCCTGGAATATGAATAGTCGCACTCGTCGAAAAACGTTAATTTTCTGACGGGTCTTCCGAAAAATGGTGGCAGAAATAGGATCCGAAGATACTGATGGAAAGCTCTGATGATGGGGGAGTTTAGATCAGGTCCTGGGGAGATGAAAGGTAGCCGGAAATGAGCGA